AGAATGGGGGGGGGGGGGGTAAAGACTATTTTTGCTCAGTGAGTGCCTTTAGACCAAAAAGTGCTTATAGCATAACATACTAGAAGTAATTTTGTGGAAAAAAAAAAAAAAAAAAAAAAAAGTAAATACGTTGTGTCACTGGTGTAGACAGAAGCAAGCAAGGAACCTCATTAGATCTAACACTGTATTTCCAAATAAGATGGTTTCCTTGAAATTATATAGTGGTATTTCTTTTAACTAAAAATGTACAGTGAAATATACAAGTACAACATGCCTTTAAAAAAACCTAAACAACTACACACCATGCTACTTACAAATAATGTAAATTATTATGCCACTAATTATAAGGAAATGTCTTAAATAGAAGAGCAAGATTTTTAATCAAGTAAAAAGATTAGTTACTTACATAGCTTACACTGCTTCTAAAGTGCGATTTTATTCTTGGTTTCACACAGATAGAACAAAAATTGAAATCCTTCAACTTCACAGTGTATATAAATTATCTGGAGTTATTCTGCAGCTGAAATCTTACAAAAGCTACTGATACCACTCACCTTGCACAAGCAAAGCCTTCACCTACTGTTTAAATACTCCCATTCTACAAACAGCACAATTAACAGTAGCACTGAAGGATACGTTTACTCAGAGAACAGCTGATGAAAATATTTTCCTGTATTTAAATGAGATGTAACTACAGCTTTGCTAAAACGAACCTTTCTGTTTATAAGGGAAGTTAAAGCAGTCCTAAAACATTGTCATGAATCCTCTGACACCCTGTAAGAGAACACATCAGTTCCCAGACATTTAATAGGAGGTCATTCCTAACTGTGTACATAGTCATACACATACACATACGAAACAAAGAAAGGCTTGTATACTGACTTAACAGATTCACTATGAATTTCTTACTTGGATTTGCTAGGAAAACCAGCATGATTTATCAGGTTTTGGCACCTCACACATTTACAGGGAAGACTGCCATTTTAGGACCACCTTCTCCCAAAGCTGTATTCGAGCACAGATTCCTCTATAGCAGACTATGAATCGCTTCTTTCATTGCCAGTTTGTTTTCTTTCTGGATCAAAAGAACTGCCTTCAAATAAAATTTTGTTTCTCATTCCTTCTTTAAGCATTCTTTGCCGGATCCTGTGTTGGGCCAAATTGTACCTGCAGTAAAACCTAGAGGAGGGGATGAAAAGAAAACATTATTCCTTGCTTTATATCAGTGACAGTATCAAACCAGTTATTCAGCCAATTGAAAAGCTGAAACCGTATACCATAATGCTAGTAAAATTCATTATGAAGTGATGCATAACAAAAATACTAGGATAACTGCCTTTTCTTTAAGAGAAATATTATGCAGCCACTGTGGAGCCGGATATACAAGTCCAATAGAAAATGCTAATTTCTATAATTTGGATCTTAATTTCATGACTATTTAGTATGCTGCCTTTATAACTGGAACAGAAGGATGGCATACGTGAAGAAAAAAGAAAGAAGAAAGACAGAAATAACTGGGTGATTTGATCTCTTAGGATTCAAGAAACAATAACAAGTTTAAAAAATAAATATTAATATAAAAATTCAAAGGCATTGAACTCTTTTCCTTTAAAAAAGGAAAGAAATATTTCGGGGAGAAGGAAAAGGACATTTTGCCAGGCAAGTTTTTTATGGAGTTTCAAGAAACAGTGCGAAAGGTCACACGGGCATCATGTTGTACAAAGTAGCCAACATCGGTCTGTCAAAATTCAAGAAGTGTTTTACATACCAGTATCCTAGCATTGTGCAAATAAAGCCACCGACTGCAAAGTCACAAGATCTCCTAACTCTACCTGAAAGAAAAACCAAAATCCACCAAAAAATTAAGAGAAAAAGCCTTGGACGATTTTCCATTATTAATAAAAAGTAACAGCAAATAGGAACTAATTTTTCCTTGCAAATAAATATATAAAATCCAGGAGGAGTAAGTACTTACTAGTTGCTAAAAAATGTCCAAGACCCAGAACTAAAGATCCCAAGGAGCCATAGAGCACCGATTCTCGCGCACATGGGACACTTTTAACATCAAGAAATCCTAGGAGTTTAAAGGACTGTAAGAAAAAAAATACACCACATATTTAAAAAATTACTTTTGTGGAAGTCTATGATACCAACTCCACTGTAGAACTATCTTGCTATCTTAGTCGTCAAAACCAACCACTTGAGGATTTCCTACTTTCAGGGTTATATCTGAGCAAAAAATGAACGTGCACAGCTGCATCAGGAATGGTTTTGGAAGAGTTAACTACTGATTTAGGCAACATCACTTCATACAAATCTGTTGATCCATCCTTTCTATTGAATATTATAAAAGATATTTCATTTTTTCCTTTATGGTCCTCAAAAAAAGGAAGGGAGAAAACTCTTAAGAATCCAGGATCTTTATTAAAAAACAAGACACAACACAACAAACAGGTAAGGTCACAATCAATTATGCAGTTAGTTATGCCATCTAATTTTAATTTCTGAAAAGGCAAATGTGCTTTAAAAAAAAAAAGTGAAATTACTGGAGACTGTGCATGTAGTAGGGAACCTTATACTGAACACTGAATAAACATTTATAAATGAGTAATTTTTAACCTAATCCTATGTATAGCCAGGGGCTGCACACAGAAATTCTCCTATATACAACACCAAAGTTTTTAAATGAATCTACTGGTAAACTTTATTCAAAATATTTCATACTCTGTCTCACATCTATAACCTACCCTAGCTCATATCTATCGGTTTTCTATTTAATTTTCAAATGGCAATTACATGTGGCATTCATAAACGCAACTGTGCACTAACGAATATGTTTTCCATTTCTGAGATGCCTACATTGGCTTCTGCACAATTCAAGTCTTCTAATTTGACTACAACTCATATTTCCCACTTGAGAAACATCCTTGCAAATATACATTGGCACCACAAGCAGGAGTGGAGAACTACATGCAAAAAGGCCTCAAGATGGCATGGGTCAGGGTTAAGGTGGCTGCACCACAGCAACATCTGCACAACTTTCTACTATTCGTTCTTTTGTTATGAATAGTGTGAGAATTTATCTTCATTTTATGGTGTTTAAATCCTTAGACCATTAAATACCACATGTGTAACTGTAACAATTAAAATCTTGAAAGATGATTTTAAAATAGTTTTACTTTTTATAAAGCTATTCTATTTGGACAAAGTAGATTTTGAAGATGGAGTACTACAGTCAACTGTTTGTGGAAGGCTGACAACTCTGTGAGGCAAGTCCTTGTGAAACATGTCTGTGGTAATAGGGATGCCACGCGTCTGACAACAGCTGGATTTGGACGCAACTACTGAAATCCCCATCAATAATTTTATCTATGTTCCCTATGGACAACCATCAGCTGTTTCCACATAATCCCTGCACACAAGCGAGACAAAAAGGATTTGGCCTATGTTGGTCTAATTTCCTAATGAGTAATTTCAAGTAATCTCATATGGAAGAAGTCACTTGATATGTTGCTGTTGTTGGCTAAGAAGGTATCCCTACTACATCCATGCAGTGTGATGCATCTTTTTAAAATAGTATTTCACCTGTTGCTACACTTGAAATCACTTGTTATGTCTCTAACCACTGCTAGCTACTGGCGTTACAAAAGCTCAAGTGTCGTGACACTGTTTCACCCACAAAGAGAAAGCCCCGCGGAGGGGTCGGTGGAAAAACAAACACAGAATCCCCACCCCACTCACTTGGCCCTACCGAGCCTCAGCACCGCCATCGGTTTCCGTGTATTGTTCCCCAACTACTCCCTCTGGAGCCACATCAGCGGGGGTTCACAACGAGTCTGCGATGAACTCTCGTGCCCCCAGCGCAGGGTTCCCTCTCTGCCTTCACGGGCACTGACGCGCTGGGAGTGGGGTGGCCGCACAGCTGCTGCTGCTGCTCCTCC